GACCACCTTGAAGCTTCTCTCAGCCATACACTTCTGGCCTAGCTTCGACCTCCTCCAGCAGACGAAAGCTTTGCTCCATGCCACGCAAAGGCCGCATGGGTATTCTGCCGCCAGACTCGTCCGCCAAATCCACCTTTCAGCGACATAGTCCCACGCCTTGCCTGCTAAGGTGGTTGCATGAAGGTGATCACGAACTTCATGGCAGAGTCGTCGAACAAGTTTCATCCATGTTGCATCAGTCAGTATCCCGGTCGGTTTCACAGATGATGCACCATATGCACATTGGTGAAGGCACAGCAGCTCAGTCCCTTTTATCTTCATTAGCTTCTGCATCGACTTCAGTAGCCACAGATATGACATCCATGGATTCTCTATTGCAAAGGTCGCTCCCCTCCGGTGAAGCATCAAGCAAAGCACAACCATCTTCCTAACCATTTCGTTTGACTCTTCTGCGTCAGGGTCTCCATAGCCTTCAGGCCTTGACTCATCTCTGAGGATCTTCACACTGCCGAACTCGTCACACCTACGTGCCATTGACATAGTGCGACAAGCAGGTGCGAAGTGTGCGTGGTCTAGCTCTTGCTCGCACAAAGCACAAGCCATACTATAGTCCTCATCAACAAGTATGTTCCACTCTCCAGCGTATCCATCTAGGGTAGCACGGACCGTCACTAAGCCCTTACCCACCAACTTCATCCCATACCTGCGAAGAACTCTGCAAAGACAAACTGTCTTGTCTTCTCTTCATTGTCCAAATTCATTGACACATCTTTGAATTCTTCCAAACAGGGGACATCTTCAGGCGGCAAGATCACCTTTTCGCCCGCTGCTGTCACCTGCTCTTCATGCACATGCACTGTTTCTTCATTGTCTCACTTGCCCTTGCCCTCACCCTTCTTTGCGCTTTTCTTCTGACATTGCGCATTCGGGTGCTGGCCAAGGCAGATCTGACACGCGTGTGCCCTCTGATCGGCACATGGCTCACTGCAAGCCCCTGGCTGGCCCTTTGCAAACTTGTAGCAGATCTGGTTGCCATCGCGATCCGTGACAAAGAACTGCCCATACTTGCGGGGATGCTGCATTTTTCCCTTCTCGACCGACTTGCCAGGTCCTCTCCAACTTGCCGACTCATGGTGTTGTCGATGCCATGACTGAATGTCTTGCATCTGTTGATACTTCCTCCATTCTTCTTCTCTCTTTTCTTTGTCACGTCTCCTTTTCTTTGCGGCCTTGGATTCACCCTCTCCAGGTGCTTTGTCTACACCCTTCAACCTTCCTCCCAAGGCATCCCTTGCAGCATCTGTCAAGTCACTAGACTCTGCATCCAATCTGCTCATCTTTCGGCCACCTCCTCCTCGAGCAATGAAGTTCTGTGCTGGGATCTGCACCTCCTGGTTCCAGAACGAATGATCTCTTGCAACATACGTGAACACTCCAATCCACGGCTGGTCAACGGAGAAGATCAAGTTCATTGGAAGCCTGCCTTCAGCAGCTGCTCGAGTGAGGTTCCTCCTAGTCCGTTCCAGATGATCACTCCTGCAACGATCTTCTGCCTGCATCAGAAGATGCCAGCACTCGGGGTATTGTCTGTTGAGGTTGGCGATGTTGCGAAAGTATTCATCCAGCGCAGCCCAGGTCATCACTGCCTTCTTGTCCGCACCCATTGCCACAGGCTCATGCTTCATCATCAGCATTATGGTCCTGTATACTTCCCAGCACGAGCTCCAAGCCTCAAAGCTCGGCGGGCCAGGAACTTCGCTCTGTTTCCAGGATCCGTCTTCTTGAAGCATGAACCCTTTTGCCTTCATGTGTTTTTGGGTGCGTCTGGCATATGGTGTGAGGACACTAAAGTCGGCATACGGGGCAGATCCTCTAACCACCACCTTGTTGATCATCACAGTCAGCTGTTCGATGGATGGCTCGGCTTCTTTGGGAGGATCTGCTCCCATCACGTCTCTGTATGTCTTGTAGGCCTCATCGACCTCATTCTTTGGAATGACCTCCAGCTCAGTGTCATCCAATTGATCGGCAATCTGTGACACCTTAATCTTCTGAATGCCAAGTGCCTTTGCAGTCATTCCTGAACCAACTGGGAGAGGAATCAGATTGGCTCCTGTGGCAGGGCCTACAGGTGCAGCATTCAGAGCGTGTAGAGCACCTGGAGCAAGGATGTCAATGTCTTCCATGCCATATGTCTGCCTTGCAATCCTCCAGACTAGAGCCAGCTGTACTGATTCTACCATCGTGAGGTCCCTCATTTCTGGTGGTCAACGGGGTTGCCATCAGCACCCAGCCTAGGAAGCCGCATGGTCTCTAAGGCTTCTGCAAACCCGTCTGGAGGAGCCTGACTGAGCAATCTCAAATTCGGGAAGTTGCCCAGTGCCAAGTTTGTCAGGCGCCAAGTAGCGTCAGGAAGACCGACAAAACGAACAACCTCAGCAACTGTGGTCAGTCCGGCCAGCTCAGCGGCGGTGGGTAGGACGCTCGCCGCCATACTTGGGAACTCGCCACTGGCACACAGCAGACACCTCGACTCCACAAGACTGAAACACCGGAGGGGTAACCAGTCGACTCCTCAACCACCAGCCAACAGCGGTGCCACTCAGCCCGCCCACCACAAAGACCAACAGTAGAAGAAGTTCAAACTCTTCCACCATGGCCTATTTGATGAGACCCTAGAGCCAAAATGGCACGTATGCCATTGAGACTCTCAAGCAACCTCCAACAAAACGCTTTCCTTCTTTCTTTACTATGCAACTTGTTGCTTCTTAAAGAATCTTGAGAAACTCTACGCAAGAAGACGCTTGGCAATGGCTGCAAGTAGCTGTCTCGACAAGTCTCAACGCACGTCCAAATTCCAAAGAAATGTGCAACAACGTAAAATAACGGATGCAAAATGCAAACAACGGTTTATACTTATGTTAACCATGTTCATAAACCCTGTTGAGTCAGCTGCGGATCTAATCAACAAGTCCAATTTTTGTGGCAGGTGTGGGGCGGTCAATTATCACATCGCTTTTACTTTGTAATATAGTACAGCGGTGTACAAAAATAACCGCCCACACGGTCCCAGGTCTCCCAGTGTCACAGTGTAGGATTCTACGGGGCAAGGGTTGTAGAGTTGTAGTGACTTTGAATTTCAAGAAGTGCAACTATTGTCTGGCCAGTGTATATCACCCAGTCCAAATCTACAACAGGGGGTAAGGCTTTTGGATTGACGGAGCAAGATATGAATGAAAAGGGTGCGTGTATGCAATGGAATAGGTACAACCTATTGACTGAGATATTATTTTTTATTCGAGGTTGTGTGTGCATATATATATATATATATAGAGGGGGACAACATCTCTCAGATACTCTCAGATTGTCTTTTCTTTGTTGTGCAATTGTTTCTGGCCTACTCTTCTGGCTGGTGTAGTCTTCTTGTTTCTGAAGCACCGTTCTTGTGTTTGACACGCCCTTCTTGCTTTTCACCTACCCTAATTGGTTATTTGTTTCTGACACAGCCTTGTTTGTGCTAGCAGGCTAAAAACCACGTGTGTAGTTACCATTCTTTATGTTTTCTTGAAGAAGGTTATATATACAGCAATGCTTCGCTTTGTTTGCAGAATGACTGACGGTTTTCTCACAGTTTTCTCTTTGCGTCCTGCTGCCATCCTTTCGCGTCGAGTTGCTCGGCAGTGTCTCTTTTATGGCAGGTGAATCCCTTTCAGTAGACCAATAGATTGACGTTCTCTGCAATTAGGAAACCTGTAGATTCCTGAAATCGGTCTACTTACTTGTCCTTCAAACTTCATTGGATAATGACAGTCATGGGATGTTGTAGCTGAACATGCAAACCTGTTGACTTTCATGTGACCTTCGTATAGCCGAACCATTCGTCTTTCTGTGTCTGCCCTTTTTCTTCTGGGTATATTCTTGCGCGTTGTGTTCTGCGCTTGAGTGGGGCTTTTCCGGTACCGTTGGATTCTGACGCCATGTCCTCCAGCTCTGCACACCGTCTACTACTACATTATACCCCCAAAGGAAGATGCTTTCCTGGTGCTTGTAACACTGCCAGTGGCATTGAAGTTACATAACTATTTTTGGGGATTTGGTAATCATCCAAAGCAGTCGTTCAGGCTGCCTTGTTTACATTAATATTTGGGCAACAGACCTGTGTGAGATCTTGTGAACTGAATCCAAACATTCATATGGAAGTGCATTTGGCGATGACTATGGCGATGGCATCATAAGAACAAAGACCCCAAAATTCTGACACTGTATTGTTGAACTCACCCTTTGACGCGTTTTCCTGGATACCAACAAACATCCGCAACAACAATCCGTCAACGGGGTTCGCTGTTTTGGTCAAAATTACTTACTGACGGTGCGGGTATGTGGTCATGACGAGTGGTCGGTTGATGATGCAAGGTGCAAGGCCGGTTGCATGTCAAGTTGAACTTTGGATCGCGTGTGGGATCAGGAAATGTCCAAGCAAAGCGTGTCGGGGAGCAAAGCTTGAGCTTGACAGGTTAAATCTCAAGCAACTGTCATAACTTAAAGCAAGCAAGGCCAAATCGAATCAAAGTGGGAACAGAAGGGGAATCAACATGAAGAAATTAAGAGAGTACACAATTTTTGAGATTCGTTGACCCTCACCAATACGTTGGCAAGGAGAAGTCAGGTCCAGGTGAAGCTGAAGCTACAGTACCTTTCATGATCTATTTGGGTTTCCCATTGCCATCAATCGGGTGGCCTATGTGACTAGACATGCCTGTACCCAGTGGTTTATTCTAGCGTCCTTGCTCCTAGTAGCGATGCCCTTTGTTCCTAGTAGCGAACATTGTTCCTAGCAGTAAGGCCAGGAGCTACGTTCGTAGCGTCCTTTGCTCCTACAAAGAGGTTCATAGAACTTCTTGACCCTGAAGTTCAGCCTAAAGGTGTGAACATTTTGCAATCCTTCCGACTCATATACCCTTCCACGTGTTAGACGTACTGAGGATTATTGCATCCCCTGCCTCCACGTACACGCCATAGAAGCACCCACTAGGCAAAGGATCGATTGTGAAGCAGGAATCTTCAAACCTGATGAAGTGCTGCTCCTCCTCAGTTCCAATTTGTTGGTATTCATGTGCACAAGTGGATACCAGCTTTGCCATTGTGTGTATGTGTGTGCGTGTGCGTCTGGACAGATTACCCTGTGTGTGGCGGTATGGGATCTGTGCAGGTCACAGGTGCGAGTTGTCTTTGTCTCATGTTTGACAAGCCGTGATGCGTTGCTGTTGTCTTATCGGTCTTTATTTACTTTGAAGAAATGTGCAATGACAAGGAACTTTGAATGTCCTTAGTTCCACAGAACAATTATGAGCTGAATTGCCCATTTGCCAAGTGGCGCTTCTTGAGCTGCTCATCTCCACGACCTGAGGTGTGTGTTCCAAGAACCAAACTGTCAACATCGCACCCTCGCCCCACCCTGCGCTCTCTGTTTCGGGGTATATCTCTGTCCATCGCCCTTCGTCTTTGTTAAAGCAATTACTTATGAACCCTGAAACGCTCCAGGTTGCTTTAAATTGATGCACCTTGAAAACAAAACAACCAATGCAATCCATCACGTTGTCATCTAGAATCTCGAGAAGCATTTGCCTCGAAACCTACTCCGTGCAGACATGAGGCCCATCCAGCAACATGGTTCACAACCACAAGTGCCAGTGTGCCAAGTCCCATGTAAATGGCAATTCCTACACATGTTCCAAGATCATGAGAGTTCCATGCAGTTGTGTAATTGTATGTCAGAACGCAAAGGCAGGAATATATATATATATATATATGTTCTAGTTGGCATTGGTCTTGCCTTCTCGGACAGCACGCAACTCTAAAAATGCACCATTAGCAGTTCAGCGGACCTTCTCGGGTGTGTAGTACAACACTGCAACACCGGTGACGTCTGACAGCTGATGAAAGAACTAAGGAACTGGAGAACCAGTCCGTCAGTGGGTGTGCAGGCTGACTTCACATATTTTCGCATGCTTTTGCGGCGCTTGCTTTTGCCTTTTGTGCACTGGATATGCCTACAACATCGTACAACCAATAAACACCTTATTTTGCCAGCAAATACCCGGCGGAAGTGGTTAAGCCTGGAATGAGTCGAATGAGTTGTGGGTGTCGCTTTTGCAGGGGAAGTCTTCGAACTTCCGACTGTTTGGTTCAAAACAACAGGTTTCCTTTACAAATTTGAACGCTATTCAAATACCCCCGGAAAAACCATGCATATACAAATGCTGAAGAACAACACAAGCTGAAAGTCTAAAAGTTCTTTGCACGATGGTAATGTTCTGTTTTCGCACCCCTTACAAAAATGGCCTTACTTCTCTTGGACTCTTTCGCACAAGGCCTTCGCGAGTTTCAAGCTCCTCAGTACTTCCTTCGCCGAAAGTACAAAAAATCATAGCCCCATTAGTTGCTTGGAGGTCTGCACACGGTGCACGTGGGTTTGATCCTCGGGTGGACACCCAAATGTTTAGGTTCAGGCGGGTCGCCAAGAACAATTGAATGGTTGATTGTGGCAACATAGCTCTTTCCTTGAGCTTTGCCAAAGCACCGCGGAAGGTGTCTTGAGGTACAAGCAGTTTTGAATTTGTTTAGATATCAAATGCAATGGGCGTTCATTTGAAAGCATCCTATCGTTAATTCTTGTTATTGGAAGCTGTCTGCGGGTGCTCCGGATGACTTGGTTGAGCATGCAGGGAGCATTTCTGTAATGTTCAGCTGTGCCACATCCAACAAAGCGTATTGTTGGGGACGAGAGGGTGACAGCTGGGTATCGCAAGCAATGTCACATTGGTCAAGTATCAGTATCCCAGGCTGTACATGTTTGGGCTCTGTTTTGTTCAGCATCAGAAGCCACTGTTTTCGTTTCTTCGAGAGATCTACTTGAGCAGGGCCCACTTCACCAGATACTAGTTTGCCATAGGTTTAGCTTACCATCTTGTGTATCAGTTCCCATTGTACCAGAGATCTAGCTTATTATCTGACCTAGTCTAGTAGGCTCTTCTTCACCAAAGACTTAATATAGCATCTAGTTCACCAGGGATCTGGCATACCATCTAGTGTACCAACAGTCAGGTCAAGCTTACCAAAGGCCCAATTTATGGTTTGATTTGCCAGAGATCAAGCTTGCTAGGGATCTGGTTTACCGAAGTCCTAGTTTGCCAGGCCTCTAGTCTACAATCGACTTTAAGATCTAGTTTCCCTAGAAGTCTAGTTCACCAGATGGGAAGATACCTAGTTTGCAGATCAATCTTACCATCTGGTTTACCAAAGCCCTAGTCAAAACGTGGTATCAAAGATCAGGATGGTGAAGAGATCTGGATTACCAGGGCTACACATTATCAAAGATCTAGCTTATCATCTGGTTTACAAAAGATCCAGTTCACGATCTAGGGTACCCGAAGTCTATTTTACAATCTAGTTTAGTAGAAGATTGCCGTCATCTAGTCATATAAAATAGCAGCAAGCTCCTTCACCAGGGCCTTGCCAAAGCCTTTGTGCTATCCAAAAAGTCCAAAACTTCGGAAAGTCATAAGTAACAAGTGCATCGCTACTAGTAACAAGTGCCTTACTACTAGTAACAATAAGAATTTAATTAGAATTGTAATTACTAGCAAAAAGTCCAAAACTTCGGAAAGTCATATAGTTCCTAATAGCTTCTTGTTTCTAATAGCTTCTTGCTACTACTAGTAAGGCACCTGTTACTACTAGCGATGCACCTGTTGCTAAAGCTATAAATGTTTGGATTTGAGGATTTGATTGGATTTTTGAACTTAGTCTTGGCAACAGGAACAAAGAAACCACATTCCGCCAAAATGAGCACACAAATGGAAACGGTATATACTCTCAGAGCGCCCCGTTCTTCTCTTTTTTGAAGCTAGCTATGTACCTTACTTCATCCTATTTCCTTCCGTTGAGCTAGACGACCAGCCTTACTAAGAAAAGGCTAGATAATAATATAGCTATTAACCTCAAGTCCCTTAATGCATTGAATGCTGCTATTAGACCAACATGCCAGCATAACATCACTGTGATGATCCCCTCATTGGAGGGAGCAATGTCTGCAAGCCAAAACCTCAATAAATCTTGCCTAGCCTTCTCAAAATGAGTATATCGAGTAGATGACCATCAGTGGCCACCAGTCCTCCAAGCAGCTCCACTTTGGGGTTGTTTCGCCATGATTGCGAGAAGCATTGCGCCACCATGAGACAGAGGTGTCCAAAGGTGCAATCAGCTGTGTCTGTCAAGCTTAGAGCTTATCTCCTCGTGGTTCGGGCCGCTCTCCCACTCTTTGAAGATTCACTGTATTGGGTCTCATTTAGCTTAATTGGCTTAAGTCCGCAGCCCTTGTAAGCCAAAACGCTGACGCCCGGCCAGAATGAATGAGTACAGAACAAGCATGGATCTATTTGCAAAATGACTCAAAACGATATTATGGCAATGGCGTGACGAGTAAGGAAGGCTTTTGGCAAGCATGGCTTGAACATGCATTCACAGCACCATGCACTGCATTTATACTTGTACTGTGCTTCCAACTAGCAGCTATCTTCACCAGGTACAGTATGAATATCCCGTGCAAGAACAACTGCAAGTCTACCCACTTTTTGCCGGTGCCACAAGGCATGAGCCCAACTGCTATTGTTTACACAATAGCTTTACAATCAAGATCATGTCCGTGCAAGGTTTTAACTCCTTATGCCCAAATGTGCAAAAGAACAACTTAAAGACTAAACTAAACAAATGCCGCCATTCCTGAACCCCGCATGCAGTAGTTTCAGTAGTGCGCTAGGTACCCACAGTGGTGGGGAAATCGGTGGGCCAATGGTCTCAACAAACCATGACACCTTCACATAAATGCAACACAAAACGCGCACGACGTAGCAATGCAAGCAAGTGCTTATGCTGACAAGAATCTCCCTGCACGCTAATATGCAGTCCAGGCAAATCTACAGGGCGAACATGCCTGTTTGGTCAGCATCATCTTGTAGTCGATGCAGGGTCCAGTCAGGATCTGATCGATTGAAACACGTTGTAGCAAACGCAAAACAAACAAAGCCTAGTCTCGATCATCTGGATTTGGACAAACATGAAGGCTGTTCACACAGAAGATTTGCAGTACTCGGAGAATATCCCTTGGTGCTCAACTATCTTGTTTATACGTTTTAGTACATGCTTAAACAGCTCCTACACTGCCGAAAGAATGTTCTGCAGTGTCTGGGAGGAACAGCAGCCACACTAACTTTCGGTGCAGTTGCAACGGAGACTTGGACCACTGTGTTCAGCAGCGTGCCACAGGCATATAATATAGATGGGAATTGGGACTCTGCATCATCTAGATATATCTAGATTGTCTCAAGCTCTATAAATACTGATCAGCCTGTCAAGTGTTGGCGCTGGCTTGCCTTCGTGTTTGTGTCTCTAGGAACCGTGTGGAACCACCACCCTGAGACAAAACACAGTAGCGACGGCAAGATCTGTTCAACAGTTTGTTCTAGTGCAACAAGGGATGAGTATAAGGGCAATGGACAATCGATGTATCTGATCATATTTGCCAACCGGGCCTCTCTCCCTGCATCTGTGATGAGCAAAGTGTGCTCAAACTGCGCAGCCAGCGCTTTGGTTGAGGTGAGAAGAGTCCTGGCATGAGTTTGACCATCCATAAAAGAAGGGGAGACCCACAATCATGCGCATGTCTATGCCACGTGACGCGCCCGGGAACAGTATTCTGCTCGTTGATCACAATGACACCTTTTACCATTGTCTTCTTGTCGCTGGACAGAAACCAGCTGGGTGTGTTTCCTACAATGATTCCTCAACTAACTGATAGCAGGCATGGACCGGAAACGGGTAGGGTAGAGTATAGAGAAGCATGATGTTCTGCATGCTTCCCGACAAGTGGTGCAAGTCGTTGCAAGTGATGTCCGTTGTGACTGTTGCTTTCAACCTCTTCTAAATGTACTTCAAAAGGCAAACTGAACTTCCCTTGGTTTTCGGCACGCGGAAACACGGGCTGCTCGTCTTGAGCAAGTTTCTCTGCTACTGTGCCAGTGGATTTTGAAAACTGGCAAAGGCTGCAAGCACCTCGTCCTTGGAGTAGCCTCCCTTAGTGAATCAATGAAGGATAGCGGTTCTCACACTGGTTCACACGTGTTTACAACAAACGGGACATGTTATTCTGATGGGTGATGTGAGAGTGTGTGTTCCCGTGTTGGCCATCGATCCATCACATCTCTTGCCCAATACCCAGAATTTTGATCATGTAGGTTGAGACGCTCCACTCCTTCAATTGTGCAAAACATCAACGAAAAGAGTCTGAAGCTCTATGTTCACCGTCAGTGACTACCTCTAACCACCACATTTTTACAACAGTGCTACTGGCCCATACTGGCCCTGCCCCTCGTGCAGTTGAAAGGTGCGTAGATCATGTCCATTTTGCTGAATCCAGCATCTCTGATCAATATCAAATCGAATCCTCCGTGCCACGATTCAACTCACACAACCATCAAATGGCTTTGTCAGACTTGCCAAGTGCATTGCATGACAGGTACGGTGATGGGCACTGTCGCAAGCGAAATCCCTGCAGGCCTGATTCTCGAAACTGCTGAACGCGAAAGCCAAAGAGTTTCAATGTAACCAGCGGGCACCCAGCCTCGCGCAGTGCCAAAGCGGTTGCGTGGCATGCTCGGCTGATGCATGCGAAGATGGCGGCTTCATGCCTGATGCCTAAATCAATGGTTTTGTTTAAGGGTACAGTAACCCCTCAAAACTATGGGTGTCCTGTAGATTTCCCTTAATCCAACTCTCGGACTAGAGCCAAACATATTACCATATATTACCTCTTTATATCCTGTTATAAAGTATAAAATTCAAAAACATGTTTATTCTGAGGTGTCATTCGCTTTTCCCCAGACACTGTGAAGAGATTGCATAAATCTGGCCTGCCAAAGGTCATACACTGAAAAACCTGCTGCGGCCATCTCTTGGTAGCCTTGGATGTGGCGCGCAAGGGCATCCGTGAGTGTTTGAACCAACTTGGTGAGAAAATTCAAGGCCGGATAGCCAGACATGTGAAGCTAGTGGAAGGAAGGAACGGAAGGAGGAGAGTGACAAGGGGTGTCTCCGGATATGATATGAGACTATACACTATACTATATATAATATACATGTATATAAATGTACAGTATGTATATCTATAAAGCTATACAGCTATACATAATTATGAAGATATATCACGCATGATGACGATTCGTATATTTGGATTGAGTGAGTGAGTGAGTGAGTGAGTGCGTGCGTGCGTGCGTGCGTGCGTGTGTCCGTCCGTGCGTCCGTGCGTGCGTGGGTGCGTGCGTGCGTGCGTGCGTGCGTGGAGTGAGTGTGGACTTTCCTTACGAACCCTTTAGATCCCTTTTTTAGAGCAGTATGCGTGTCAGCAGAACTCGAGCGAGCAAAAACATGCAAAAACACAGGGCAACGCAAAAACAACCCGCAGAGCGCAAGTGAGTGAGCGGGAGTGGAAGTGAGTGGATCAAGGTGAGGGAGATATGTTGAAAGTGAGTTGAGTTGCTGTGGGATGAGTTGGTGTGTTGCTGAGGGAGGAGGCGGAGGAGGAGGAGCAGGATGAAGGAGAAGCAGAAGGCGGATGCGGAGGTAAGAACCCCACACACTAAAAATGTGTGGAACAACATCGAATTATACGTCTTGATCCAGAAATGGAGCATGTGATGTCGATAGAACCTGAAACATTTAACACTTCACATTGACTGGACTTCCGGATAGTGTAAGTTCTTTAGGTCGAAGCAACAATATGACTTTGTGGGCCTTTACTTTCAAGACTGCTGCAAAACAGGGCATGATCTGTATATTCGCCAACTCTTGCAAAGTACTAGGAATATATGAATCAACACGTTCAGCCGGCAGCGCGGCTCAAAGAGCATCTAAAGCCTTTCCGCCAGGCGTCTGAATCCAAGCTGCCTCAACGCTTAGCTCAACTTGAACACACCAAAAGAAACTCTTAGACGTACCGTAATTTAGTGTGAACATAGTTCTTTCTCAAGAGTTCAATCAATTTCATATCACTAACATATCACTTTGCACGCATATTTTCATGAGAGCCTCTTAATGACATCCCGGATATATATCCCCATCCCCACCTCAGCGTCGAGGGCGCCACGCCACCATTCACTTCTCGAATCTCTGCTACGCCGCCTTTGCGCAACCCAATTCACGAATCTGTATAGCTGGCAAAGCCTGGGACAAAGCCTTGCAAAGATTAGAGCGTGACAACCCAAGAGCCCAAGGTCAAGAAAATCCACTGCTGTCCAAGACACAACCCAAGTCTCTCAACTCACGCAAAAATAGACCCAAAGCCGATAAGTCCTGCAGCAACTCCAGCTACAACCTGATGGAGTTTTCAGGGGTTCTTTGATTTTGCGGCATATTCCCTTGCAGTTATGTGTGCTCGTGTAAACCTGCGCATCATGGAGTTCGCACATGATGCACCGGCAAAAGGTGCAAGCTTGCTTAACTGCACAAATCCATAGTAACAAAAACAAAAACAACAGTATAAATAATTGCGTTCATTGTAGATACTATAAACAACCTCTTTTATAGATAATCTATCTATCTCTCTTCGGAATTCGACCTGATGAGTCATGGACTTCGTCATGGACCTCATCTCAACTTTGCATCCAAAAACGCTACAAGGCTGATATTGACTATTGGCAAGGTATTGCATAAGGAGCGATATGTGTATGCGTTGTCTGTTTCTCTTTTCGCTAGCCCTTGCGCATGTTCACATGACATCCATCCATCCATCCAGCCAGCCTCACAATTCAGTCCTTGGCCTCAAATCCCACTGAGCGCAAATCTGCAGGACCTGTCAATCGGCTCTGATTGTCTTCTCACATTCCTTGGGGTTGTCAGTTGTCACCGCTTACTTTCGTAGACAGGTCCCTGACGGGTATGGCATCGAAGAAAAGAATGAACCGATCATCGCTGATCCCCTTGACGAAGAAGCCAATTTCAACAAAAAGGAAAGTCATGGTAGGCTCAGTCAGTGAGGTCATTCAATGGTTCCCCAAGTCAACATTGTGGACGAACCTTCCACGCACTCAAAAGTATAGCGTGGGTTCACAGTCTTGTCAAAAAATGCTGCCACAAAGTGACTCTATAGGCTAATAGTGGTTCAGAATCCTTGCACCGTTCGTCTGAAGAAAGCTTCTTGTTATAGCTCTGACTGTGTGCCCGGCCAAAGCCCAAATTGTGCAGCTCCATCATGCTGTATCCAGCACGTTTCAGCGCAGCGCAATCCCCCAAGTGGGAAATCTGCAGAGTTCGAAGTTCTTTCGATGTGCCAGTTGAAAGCATCCCAAAAGTCACGGAATCCGTCAACATTATTGGTTACTGCTACTCTCAGCTTTGGTCTCTGTTGAAACACGTGTACTATGAAGAAGCAACAAATTTGTGAAGCCTTTTTGTCTCTGATCTCTTTAACTTTGGAAACACACCGTACAATCAACAACACGACAGCTTTCATACCTATCCAACTCTTGCTCATCAGTTGCTAGATTGTGTGGCCAAAATAATGTCCTCTTCCCGTTGCCTCTTTCGCAGCGAAGCCTGCATCTCGCAAAGATCCTGGACTTGCTGCTGCACGAGGGTATTAAATCCATGAATCGTCCATGATCACTCATGGAACGGGCCAACGTGTAATCAACATAGATCCCGAACAGCTTTGCTGAGGACCCTCGACACTGGTATGGGAATGCCTGACTTGAAGGCGTTGAATGTGACTACAGTTTGGGTTTGGGGGGGCCAATAAGTGGGGAAGAGGTACTGTAGGAGCGGGGAAGAGGTATGATTAGGGAGCAAGTTGGCCACAAGGATCCATTGGGAGGTAAAAAAACACTGGAATACATAGTTGAATCCAGTTCTGTTTTGATTGTTTGGAGACTCTCCGCAAAAACTCTTGCTGAAAGAACAACCTGCTAATTCTGCTCATGTTGGATTGGGGGTTGACAAGAAGGGGCGCCAAGAACGATCCTTATCCTTACAGAATCTGAAGCATGCCATAGCATGTCCGCAGAAGGCCACAAATGGACAGCTACACTCGAATAGATATCAGCTCCAGGAGCTCCACCTCTTTGGCGTTTGTTTCGCGGCAGCAACGCGAGGTCTCTTAACTGATATGACCCCAAACGCAACAGCATATCTCCCACTTGGTCGATGGCAAGACCACTGGACTGAATATATCCTGCACATTCCTGCACTGTGTCAGCATTCTTTGCAAATCAACGAGGCTGTTTGTTCAGTCGGGTCAGCCGTGGGCAGTGTTCGCCATCTGGCAGGGCCTGCTGTAATACCAATTTCCAAATGAAACTGTTTGACACCGCATTGAGGGCATTGTCTCGCGTTGATGTACTTGACGCAAATCTGGCCGTGCGCGCTGCATAAACGGCAACTGGTTTGTACAACGTCCTCATTCTCATCCTGTGCGCTTTGAACCTCTGTTCTCGGCAGTTTGTCCGCGCAGCCATCACCACGTTGTTAGTTTGTTTGTGGACCTTAATTAAGGAACAAACCTGATCTGAAGGTGATGGTGGGTTTTGTCCCCCCCCCCCGAGAACTAGGTGAAACTGTTTTTCGGCCATCAACACGTCTAAGACTGTGAGAAATCTCTGAAACACTTCCTAACTTCATCTAACTTCAACATATAAAGTGGTAGCAGTTTGGCTTGCAGTGCTCAAGCATCATTGGTCACACTGCCCACCACTCTTGTGCCCGCGAAGTTGTCTGAAATTAGAGATGGTATGAAAACACTTTTTTCAACAAAAGCACTGCTTAGTTTTAAGTTGGAATGGGTTGAACTAATTTGTCACTGTATCATACAGTATTGTCTACTTCCCCTTTAGCATTCGCTGGATTGAAGCAGTCCTTTGAAAACACATAAATCAGAAATATTGAAAACGCATGAATACACCGCAGCATCATTTGCAATCCTCGTCCAAACTGCAGGTGATCAACAATATGCAAAATTCCTACCTCTTTCCTGCTTATTGGCTTGTCTGAGCAGTGGATCCGATCCTTCAATGTACTTCTGTTTAGGCCAAAGCCCGATCATCACAAACATACAAAATCAAATGCTCCAGGGTTTGACAGCAGAATCTCTTGATTCCTTACTGATCCTACTGGTACAAATCAAGTGAATTATGCTCTTCATTATATAAAAAGTAAAAAGTTTTTCCGCTCTGATTGTTATCGCTTTTGCTGCGGCATTCATTCAGTCCAGGTGGCGGAGCTGAAAACCCATGCCATGCAGATCCGAGGCTTGAAAGCCCGCTGCCTGCCGCATCGCCAAGGCTGTGGATTTACATGTCAGGTGCCTTGGTGCCTTGTTTCACGACTTTAAACTTGCGGAACATATTGAAGTTCAGGTGCACCACATGATTGGCTAGGAGACTGTGGTCAGCCTTATTGTCTGAAAATGATTGTTCATCCCTTGTGTAGCCTTGCACCTCATAACATGACCAAAGCAGTCCTTTTGATGACTGCATGTTACATTAGACTTGCAACGATGTTTTCAACATGGTCCACACACTCCTTTGAGAAGCACGTCTTGATGTCGGCCTTGTAGATATTCACTATACCAACGTCATCATCCGCATCACCCATAGCGCGCATGTCATGCGGTGATTGCCAAGAGTTCAAACCCGTCTGTCTGTTCTGGTTGGTGGCCTGGAAATACATGCAAAATGGCATCCAACTGATTGGAGAAGCTGATGTCTTTTTTCGGTGTAGGAACTGGTGACTTGCACACCAAACCATACTTTGGCAGCGCAAAAGACATCTTGATGGGGCCCTGGGGATTGTGATGTTCGACCGGAGGTTGAACCGCGTACCACCTTTTCTAGCGTTTTGACTCCGCCGTCAGCGCACCCAAAGGAAGGGGCTTGCGAAGCTTTTAGGAGTGGGTATTCTGTCAAAGCCTTTTCGTTTGCGTAGAGAAGCTTCGAGTGAGCGCGGCAGGAGGAGCACATCAAATTGAATAACAGAATAAGTCTAAGAGATCGAAGAGATGAAGAAAGGAAGGAAAGTTGACCTTCCATTGATGTCCTTTCACTCTCTTAAACTTCTTCTTTGCAAGTGTCCAACTGAGCTCTCAAAAGGGCGCAAGAGCTGGACTGTGAGCTGCATTTCCAGAATCACTAGGAATCCTTACTACTAGTAGCAACCGGCTATTGGCAAGAGCGGTTTACATCAAAAGGGGCTTCGAGGGGAGCACCGATGTACCTTGATAATGTATGCATTGGCATAATCACACATTCTAAGAGCTTCTCGTTACTAGTAGCTACTTGCTCCTAGTAGTACGGCCAGGACCCCCTGTAGCTTCTTGTTCCTAGTAGCGATGCCCTTGTTACTAGTAGCTTCTTGTTAATAGTAGCTGGTGAAAGGAGCACGAATAGAAACGCTGTGTTAAAGGGGAATTACGACCCGTCAAACATAATCAAAAAGCGTTGGAGCAAACCTGCGTTTCAACAGCAAGCCAAGCACACCCTCCAGATCAGCAGCGACATGCACAGGAGTACCATTTGTCTTCGGAATCCACCTCACAGCTGCGGTCGGGGCTGTCAACCAGCACCGGCTCAACAGTGAACCTTAGCCCCACCGCGCTTTGAGAGCAAGTCCCTTGTAACTAGTAGTTTGTTGATAACTAGTAGTAATGCACTTGTTGCTAGTAGCGATGCACTTGTTACTAGTAGCTTCTTGTTGTCTGCACATAAAACACATTGGATTAACTCTGAACACACACACTCGCTGGTGAGGCCAACCTAATTACCCCTTTACCAATAAGATGCCGAAGGCTTACCATCATGCTAGGAACATCTAGGAACTATAAGTAACAATGGACGGTGTACAGTAGTTAAAAGGACCCATTGAATAAAACAATCGTTTCTTACAGCAAGATCAGCAAGGGTCTTTGAGGAAACTTCTCCCGCTCCTAGGGCAGGACAACAATTCATTGAAGGACCCTGGCTTGAGTCCACCAACTGACCTGGTGGCTAGAATTGAATAAAACACTCAATGTCACTTGGTGGCTCGTGCTTGATGCCATCTTGGAATCCCCAGCGTCATGCCAGGCTTCATTACCCCTTGCTCGACGTCGTTCACCTGAGCCACCAGTGCATGCTGCCTTCGAGAACCCCTGGGGCAGTTGCTTAATCTGGTAAAGCCGTAGAGCCAGGATGTAGATCCAACTCTGCTGGATGTGCGGTACAGTAAACTTGTCCTGGTTCTCGAAAGAAACATGCCGTGTTTCGGCATAATTAGGCTACGTACTGGTCACAGTTCATGAACCGGGTCTAACAAATCTGCCGATGTTCTTTGAGACGAAATGGCTAGGAAAATGGTCGAGCAGGGACAATTCAAGTTTCGACACCAACATTCATCACCTTGGTAGCTGCTCGAGCCCGCACGTATGGCAGAATTTCTGGCCGGCCGTGAAAGTAGCTACCGATCCCATGACCTGAACAAGCACAAAAGAAGTCAAAAGAGTCAAACAAAAGAACCCAATGGACATGCCAAATGCGGAATGCGCATGTTATGTTGCAAAATGCTCCGAAGCATGGGCTACGCATGGCTACGCCAGCAACTGCATCTGCCAATCTGTGAGCTGTGTTCAATTCTGCCCAGGCCCATGCGTGATGTGTCCAGCAAACAGTACCAATGAAATTGAAAAAATTGACATATGTGACGTATCTTCAGGCGACAAGGAGGTGTAAGACTGGATGTCCCTAGCTGTGACTTTGCAGTATAGGTTCCCTGATGGGACCAGACAGCCTGCCAAGGTTGGATGAACAGTGTAGCCATCCTGCCAGGCTTGGGTAGATGACCCACGAATGCAGTGACCAGGGTTGGACTTTGAATGAACAAAGTAACTTTGAACATAGCAACAAGCTCAACATTGAAAAGTAAACTCTGTGGAAGTTGTGAATGCAAAAGCCAGTTGCTCTAAGTTGGTATGTTTGTGGAGAGTATGTGGATCTCGGCAAGTGATGTTTCATGATTTTTCAGTTTGTGTGAATTTTATGGAATTTTAGGTTTGGAGGATTTCAGAGGTTTAACCAACTGCATCTCATTTCAGGTTGTCTTAGCCCCTCATCCCCTGACCGCCCTCTATCCCGGAATGGAGCCTCCTCAGCAGATTCCGTGATCGCTTTGCCAACTTCTCGAAAATCTACTCCAGGAGCACAAACCTGGATCTGATGTAGCTCTGAAAATTTCAAGCAGTCACCAGTCAATGCTAGAGGCAACAACAATCAATACAAACGAACAGCATGGCATCTTATTGTTGAAAGCAACATGGAAGAATTGTTACAGAAATTGTTACATATAATTAGTTACGTAATGTAGGAATCCGGCATTTGCCTTCGATCATAGTCACACCATCAAGGTGTGTGTGTGCTTTCATCGTCTCATACAAGCATGGATATATATATATATATACGTTCCTGCCATGGATGGTTGGACCCGCCGTGTTGCCTTGATTCCAGCCAGCATTGCCTGGGAACGTCCATTGCAGCGTTGGCAGCTACCCCGCTTTTC